TCTCCCTCTCTCCCTCTCCCTCTGTGTCTCCCTCTCTCCCTCTCTCTCTGTGTCTCCCTCTCTCCCTCTCTCTCTGTGTCTCCCTCTCTCCCTCTCTCTCTGTGTCTCCCTCTCTCCTTCTCCCTCTGTGTCTCCCTCTCTCCTTCTCCCTCTGTCTCTCCCTCTCTCCCTCTCCCTCTGTGTCTCCCTCTCTCCCTCTCTCTCTCTCCCCCCCCCTCGCTGCCTCCCATACCCCACACTGCCTTCGCGTGTACATGAGGCTTGTGTCTGAGTTCACAGGAGAGAGACCTCGCCCTGTCTGATGCCAAGCAAGTGTGTGCACCCTGGCTCTGCGGGCAGGTCTGCCACGTCCTGAGGGCTTCAGGCCAGGCTCTGCCTCTGCACTCGCCTGGGTCCTCAGCGGGAGGGTGGGAATTCCTTCCACCTGCACTCTGAGTTTTGTGGAAGTGAAGGGGGTCATGGCAGCCGTGTTTCCTACACTGCGAGGCGTGCGGAGGTCCAGAGCTGCATTTCACAAATGCAGGTGGCGATGTGGCGTTCCACTCTGCACTTGAGTCACCTTGGCTGTGGGCGTCACGTGAGCCTCTGACAACTCTTACCTTTATGCTCTTTTTCGGTGGTAGTATGGGAGATTGAACCAAGGGCCTTCACACGGAGCTACGTACCCAGCTTTTTTTGAGACATGATTTCATTATGTAGCCCAGGCTGGCCTCAAACTCATGGCAATCCCCCTGCCTCAGCCTCCTTAGTAATTACCACGATGGATACTGTAAACACACATTGGTTTTGATTTATAGCGTGACCATATTGTGAAGTGCTCGTAAGCATTTCTGTTTCTCAGCTCTTCTCTGATTTGTAAGATTAAAGATGCTGCAAGAAGTCAGAGAAGCATTGTCTGGGAACAGACGACAGAGGTAGTGTCTGTCTGATTCTCGTCTCTGACCGGCCTCGTGCCCCCAGGGTGTGGCTTCCAGCCCGAAGCACAGAGCTGCACAGACCTGTGCAGCGTCATCCGCTCCAAGGGAGGAGCAGCCAGGGGACGTGTGTTCTCCCGGCCCCCTGCCCTTGCTCAGCAGCATTTCTGACTGCCTGGCAACCGGACCTGCGGGTGGCTTCCCCGTGGTTCCTGGCCAGTCCCTGCCCACGCCGCCCTCCTCCTGTCACCGTGGCCCCGGGCCACACTCCTGCTTCCGACAGTGCAGCAGGCCCTGCGTTTGACCCAGCCCTCCTGGGACCCTGGGACCCCCGGGCTGGCAGTGCCTTGCTGATCTCGTCATTGTGTCCCTAACATAGGACTGGCTGGACAGAGCTGTCCCGCACGTGTTAAGACAATGGGATGTAGCCCTGGTTGGTCACAAAGCTGCCTGCCCCTCTCTGGTCTCCAGGCAGCGTATTGCTCCAGGATGTCTCACGCCAGGGCCAAATCCACGTGAGCGTTGATCTGACTGTGAGCCCAGACTCGTGGGCTCTTTCCTGGAGTCCTGCCGGCCGGGAGGGCCTGGACCCCTGCGATGTAAAGTCACCCAGCAGCGACAGAGCACATGGCTTTCCTCATGGTGTGAGACCCCTGGAGCTCAGGAGGTGTGCTGAAGACAGCCGTTGCAGACTACACTTGGGGAAGAATTTGGGGGAGGGTGGTGGGAGTCGTAGCAGAGACTTCAGCACAGCTCGATAGTGGAACACGCGTGTTTCTGTGGGCAGAGCCCGATCATGATGCACAGGCAGGGCGCAGACTGCGCTCGGCCAGGCGTCGGGCGGCACCGCTGGGGAGAGGTGCGAGGCCAGCCTGCTGTGTGTGGCGGCGGCAGAGTTAATAGCAGACATCTGCCCTTATGTCCCAACAGTTTTTTGAAAGTGTTTGGTCCATCAGCCTTTTTTCTAGCCATTGGGAATTCTGGGAGGAGCAAGGAACACTCCCGTGCGCCTCCAGGCACTGCAGTGCATGTGTGTCCGTGCCGTGCGGGCCGCGAGGGACATGCACAGCAGCAGCCAGAGCGCGTGGGGTGAGCAGAGGCTGCCGTGGGCATTCACATCTTCAGAAATTAGTATGGTGAGAAACACGCCCTGGATCATCCCCCCAGAAACGCTCCCCGAACTCCTAGCGCACTCAGCCCACCGTCCCCACCTCGCAGCAGCTCTGGGGTCCTCCTTCCTGAGTGTCTTTAGCTGTGTCCTCAGTGTCCTGAATCAACTCAGGACATTTTGTCGTTTTTGGGACTTGGGAGGAGCCGGGAGACGTGGTGCCAAAGCTCCAGTGGGTAAGGGGAGGACGCAGTGTTGCGTTTTATGAGCTGCCTTCCTGTTGGATCGCACTGGGCAGAGCCCCTTGTAAAGCCACGAAGGAGGACCCCAGAACTGCTCACAGAGTGGTAAGAACACTGGGGAGAGGAGGATTTTGAGAGGTTTCATAGCAAGTCTTTTACTGTAATAAAGTTTTATTTTTTTTTTATTTTTTATTTTTTTGGTTTTTCTCCGGTACCGGGAACCGAACTCACGACCTTGCGCTTGCCAGGCAGGCGCTTTTGCCGCTGAGCTAAATCCCCAGCCCCTGTAATAAAGTTTTAAAAATGTAAACATTCACCACATATTTTGATCATACCGTATCACTTTAAACTCCAGCTAATGGAGTGACCAGGAGTCCTTTAAGTGTGGAGGAGCCTCCCATTGTGCCAGTGTCCACTCAGACATTTTCTTTGACTGTGGTAAGAGCGCTTCCCAAGATTGCCCTCTTGACAGATGTCTCAGCGGACAGCACACACTGTGTGTAGTACAACTGTACAGCAGGGCGCTGGAGCCTGTCCGTCTTGCTTGGCTAAACTTAAGCTGTGGATTCAAATCTCCCTGTCTGCTTTCCGGTTCTCTGGCAGCCTCCGTCCCGTTCTTCTGCGTCCATGGAGTGGGTGTCGCCATGCCCCGTGGAGGGAATTCACCCGGGGTTTGTCTGGTTCTTTTCTCTTAGCACAGCGTCTTGACGCCATCTGTGTCTCATGTTTTCTCTAATTTCCTCTTTTCAGAGGCTGAATGGTATTCTGTTTTTGTTTTTGTTTTTGTTTGGTTTTTTGAGACAAGGTCTCACTATGTAATTCAGGCTGGTCCTGAACTCATTATGTAGCTCAGGCTGGCCTTGAATTTGCAGCAATCCTCCTGCCTCAGCCTCCTGAGTGCTGGGATTAGAGGTGTGTGTCATCACGCCTGGCAGGCGAATAGCATTCTGTTGCTTGTACGTGCCACGTTGTCTTTGCCACTGATCTGTGATGGACATTCAGCTGGTTTCCACAGCTGGCTGGTGTGATCAGTGCCCCAGTGGGCATGGGTGTGCTCATCTCTCTTTGAAATCCTGATTTCAAGTTTTCGGGTCTTTCCCTGGAAGTGGGGCTGCTGGTCATGGTCACTGTGTCTTGTTCTCTCGAGAAGGCTCTGCACCGTTTCCCCGGCAGCTGCACCTGTGTGTTCCTGCGGCGTGAGCCCGCCCCGGCTCTCACGCCGCAGCCTGCGGTGCCTCCATGCTTCGGAGCAGCACCCCGCCGTGTGTCCAGCGCCCGCTCCACGTGGCTTGGTTGTGATTTGGGTTTCCTGGTGGTTCGTGCACCTGTTGCCGTGCTGCATCTTCTCTGGAGAAATGTCTGCTCATCTGAAAGGCTGGCTCCTTGTTTCCGTACCTGGAGTGGCAGAGTCAGGCGTGTGTGGACGTGACTCCTGATGCGTGGCGCGCTCCCCCTGCTGCCTGTGGGTGGGCCAGTTGCCGCCTCACCGTGCTCACCCTTCTCTGTCGTCCCCTTTGTTTATTTCTGGTTTGTTGTGCTGTTTTGCTTTGTCTTTGCTGCCCGTCGTTTTGGTGTCATTTTCAATGACGTCACTGCTAAGACCATCGCGATGCTTTCCCCTGTGTTTTGTAGGAGCTGCACAGTTTCAGATCTCGGGGTTGAGTCTCCAGTCGTTTTGAGGTGATCGGCACCGTGTGACAGTGAGGCTCAGCTTCACCCTTCTGCATGTGGACGTTCAGTTTTCCCAGCACCCTTTGTGGAGCAGACGCTAGTGCTTCCCCCGTTGCGTGCTCAGCTGGCCACGCACACGGGTTCTGTTCTGGTCTTGATCTGTACGTGTCTGTCTGTATCCCGTGATAACTGTGACTTCTTAATGTATTTTAGCCTTGGTTCTTTCCCAGGATCAATTGGTTGCTGGTCTTCTGTATTTCCACGTGAATTTTAGGATTGATTTTCTATTTTGTAAAAACTGCCATTAAGATTTTCGTGGGGATTACAGTGAATCTGTGTATAGCTTTGGCAGTGTGGGTATTTTAGCAGTAGGAACCCTTCCAATCTGAACACGGATGTGTTTGTATTGTGTGGTGTTTAACATACACATATTCGTAGGTATTCTATTCTTTTTAGTAACGTCATTGGTGGGGTTGTTCTCCTGAATTCCTTTCATAGCTTACTGTTTGCTGGAACGCAGCCAATTTTTGTATGCTGATTTTGAATCCTGCCACTTTACTGGACGTAATAGATTGAACAGTTTTTAGTGCCGTCTGTAGGGTTTTCTGTATATGAGATTATGTTTCCTATGGACAGGGGCATTTTACTTCTTCTTTCCAGTTTGGGTGCTGTGTCTCCCTCCCTCCTTTCTGCCTTCCCTGTCTTTCCTTCTTTCTGTTCTGCTAGGATACCCAGGACTATGTCACCTGTGGAGAAGGCCATCCCTGCCTTGTTCTGCTGGTAGACGGAAAACTTGCACCTTTTCACTGCTGGGTGTCGTATTAGCTGTGGGCGTTTCAAACGAGGCCTTTACTATGTTGGAGACATGTCCTCCTAGTCCCAGTGTGTTTAGAGTAGGGAGTTTTGTCAGGTGCCTTTCCTGAATCTGTTAAATGATGGTGTGGCTGTACCCTTCATTCTGTTATGGGTTTGTCGCATGAATTGACTTCCACAGGTCGAGCCGCCCTTGTCTCCCAGGACGGACGCCTTGGTGTGGTGTGTGGCCCTGCTCCTTTGCTGCTGGGCTGCGTTTGCTTATAGTCTCATGACGACTTTTCGTCTGTGTTCCTCAGGGACGCTGGTCCAGAGTCTCCTTGCCTTCTTTGAGTAGGAGGAGTTTGAGAGGCGGCACACGTTCTGCTCCTGCAGAGCCACGTGCTCCCCGGGTTCTCTTGTCGAGAGCCTTTGATCGCACTCTGTCCCTGGAACAAGCCTTTGTCTCGTGTTCTTCAGTTTCACTTTTACAACATGCTATGTATGTGCTAAGGGGAAAGAAACCCTACTTTAGAATAAATACCAATTTCTTACTGAGTGTGCCTGGTGTCACAACAACCAGAACTGAGCTGTTAGAGAAAGTGACTGTTCTGTGGACGTTTATTCTGTAAAGGATTACTCTGGAAGTTCAGGCTGATCTAAAACTTGAAGTGGAAGGTCAGGAATTTGACTTGCATTAATCCTGAAAAACTACTTTTTTTTTTTTTTTAACTTTTTTCTTTTGTCTTTTTGAGACAGGGTCTGGCTATGCTGTTCAGGCTGGCTTTGAGCTCACTTTGTAGCCCAGGCTGGTCTCAAACTCGCACTGATCCTCCTGCCTCAGGCTCCTGAGTGCTGGGATTACAGGCTTGTGCCACCATGCCCCGATACTACGTTGGTTTTTACTATAAAAATTGTGCTCTGGAGAATTTGGCTGGGATAAGGTTAACAGAGTTAACTTGAAGAAAAATTTCCCTAAATATTTTTGTAACATTTTCTCTCCGTGTTATTATAAGTGGAATCTCAGTGATGGGGAAGACATCTGAACGTTCAGAGCAGATGTTTCCCTTCACATCCGCATCCAGGGTACCCACTGTGGATCCGCCCGAGCACCACCAACGCGGCAGAGACCGAGAGCAGCGCTCCGCACCCTCGCTGCTAGGCGCGGTGCGGTCGCCTTGCTGTGTCTTCCAGTGTGAATCGCGGTGTGGTGCGCAAGGCCCTCGTCTCCTACGACGCGGCTACAGTGTGTTTGACCTGTTCTGAAGGCCATTTCCACTGTTTTCCCAGGAAGCCTGAAATTCGTGATTGTGCCCCAGCCTTTGTTCGTCTCTGATCAGTGTTTTCCTGCCCTCTTGGTTGCTGTGAGCCTGATGTGGCCTTCTGGATGGAAGGACAGGGACCTCATCATCCAACGGCGACGCCTTCCCTTTTTTCCAGAGGTCTTTCCTGTTTCAGAAGACATCATCGTGTCCCAGAGAAGGGCAGAGTGCGATGTCAGGGAGGACTGCAGTGCTTTGAGGGCAGGTGCCGTTCTGTTCGCTGTACACAAGTAGGAGGATGGAAGGTAGATAGCCCTGGAGTTTAGAAATGCATTTTTAATATAATGGAAGATCATTCTAATCAACATAAAGACCCTAACCAGTGGTGGCAGCTATGGCACACATGCCGCCTCAGGCCGTTTGTGCCCCTGGAAGGGTCACCGTTGCTGCCCTCACCACTTTCTCATGAGATAGCTCCAGCAGGTCTGTGCTGGTCTGAGAGCTTCATCCTGACTTGTACCTTGGGATGAAAGCACTTGGAACACTGCTTCCTGGTCACACTGGTAGCTGTGTAGTTGCAGCGGCTTGGTGTCCCCCAAGGTACAGATCCCTCGCTGGCCTGTGTGCTTTTGCAGACATTGTGGGGTTCTACACCCTGCTAAGTGCGTGGGGTTGTAAGTCGGTGCTTTTCCTGCACATCACTTTCTTAAAAGATACACACTGCACTTTTGAACTGTAAGATAAATTATTCCTTAAAAGCACCTGCTAAAATCCACAGTGAAAGGGGGGCTGTCCATCGTGGACAGTGTCAGCCGGGGCAGCCACACCCTGCCGGTGGCCGGCGGAGGCCCTGGCTGGCCCTCCCTCTCTGTGGAGCCCGGTGGCACCTCAGCTCCCAGAAACTGAGGCAAGAAGGTGAGGCGGACTCGTGCAACAGAGGAGAGGCCGGAAGCAAGGACTCCGTGGAGGGAGTCGGGGGGAGTTACTCTCAAAGTGGCTTCCGATGACCCTGCCCTGTCCGTGTGAAGAGGGTTTGAGAACGGAAGGAAGAACTGGTGGGAGACACCAAGATGCGCTTTGGCCTCGGCACTTGGGGCCCTTGGGGCCTGGTCAGCGGAGTGTTTGGTCAGCAGAGGGAAGAAGGTGGCCTTTGGGTCCCCGTGCCCGCCATCACCATGTCCCAGGGACAGGAAGATGGCTCCTGGGGCTGGCGGGGTTCAGGGCTGCTGTGAAAGCAGGAAGCCCTCACTGCCCTGAACCCCAAACCCTTCAAATCCTTGCGGCACCCTCTTTTAAAACACTATTGAGGGATAGTTACTTACCCTAAAGCTTCCCATTCAAAGTTTATAATGTGTTATTTGGAATAAAAATTTTGTAACAAATTATTTCAGTAGGAGGGGCTGGGGATTTAGCTCAGTGGCACAGCACCTGCCTGACAAGTGCAAGGTCATGAGTTCGATTCCCGGTATCAGAAAAAAAAAAAAAGAGAGAGAACCAAATTATTTAGGAAAGAAGTCATTTTGTTTCTGAGAGCTGTGATTACTGCCCTGCTACTGTGTGCCCGCAAGGCAGGCACCGGGGTCCCCAGTGTCAGATGAGGTGACGCAAGCTTGGAGAGGTGGGCAACCTGCTCACAGGTGGCAGAGCTGAGACCACACAGCCGGGGACCTCCTGGTGATAGTGGCTGCCCCTGCCCCCGGCACTGGGACACTGAGACTCCCTATCAAGTGCTTGTCTGTACTCTGAGCCAGGATCTGCCCTGAGCTGGCTCCCCTGGACACATCATTCTGGAAGTTTGGGCGTTGCATGTGTTCCCTAAAATCATGTTTTAAAACATGGTCATTTTTCTCTTGACCTGTTTTATAATATTTAAGTAAAGAAACCTATTCTGTAGTTTTTAAAAAATGTTTGTGTCTTCACCACATTTCCATTTTCAACATATTCTTGAAAGGTTCCTTCCTTTCACCTGCCTTCCAAGTCTCTGCACAGTTGCCGGAGCAGATGCCGGTGTGGCCCTGCCCGGAGCGTGTGGGGTGCCCCACACCCTTGCCCGCGCGGCCCCTGATACAGCCCAGCAGCTGAACTGTGTCCTTTTATTGTTTGTTTTCTTTCTTTCAGCAATGCGGCCACTTAGCATGTCTCACAGTTTTGACTTGTCAGGTAACAAACAAAGCACCTTCACACCTGACGTGGTCGTGGCTTGTAATGCACATTTCATGCACTGCTTGCTCAGACTGCCAGAAAGAAAATGGAAAGGCTTTCTTCTCGACGTGGTCAGTGGGCGAAAGCAGTATGCTTTTCTTTTCTTTTTTTCTTTTTGGTTTTTTTGAGACAGGGTGTTGCTGCATCATTTAGGTTGGCCTGAAACTCACAGTGATCCTCCTGCCTCAGCCTCTCGAGTGCTGGGATTACAGGTGTGCACCACCATACCCAGCTTGAGAGTAGTATGCTTAAAATAATGAGAACTCAGTGTACCCCAGCCTCCCAGGGGGGAGAGCATGCTCAGGCCACAGTGAGGCTGCCTCCACATGTAGCTCTCTCTGCCGCTGTGCCTTCACCGTGGGAGAATGGGGGAAGCTGAAAGACGGCTTTGAAACATCTTCTCCAAAACCTGCAGTAATTTGAGGACCTAAGCTTAAAGCGGTGGCTGTTTGCTGCCTGCTGTGGGCAGTGCTGTGCCCATTGGCTGTGCCAGCTGCCTTGCCCGGCCTCTGCTGCATCGAGAGCACACAGGTCTGGGCCAGCGTGTGCAGGTGCACGCCCAGGTCTGCAGTGCAGGTTCACACCCCTCCGCGTAACACACAGCACCCACGGTGAAAGGAGTGACTGCCTAGATGTGACCCGTGAAGCCGGCCCCCTTTTAAAGTAGGGGAAACCAGTTTCCATATTTGCAAACTTCCAAGACCTATGTAATTCCAACAAAATATTTTGCAAGTTAGAGTTTTTAACTTCAGAAGCCACTGTTTTAAATGTAAGATAAGTAAGCTGTTGGTACCATTTTCTTCCAGTTTTTAACTGTGCGAATCCTCTTAGGCTACAGCGACTCCTCGAGTGCCTTACGTACAAATGGAGAGCGAGAGCGGGCCGGGCGCAGCAGCACCCGCCTGTAATCCCAGCTTCTCAGAGGCTGATGGAGGAGCAGGTTCCAGGCCAGCCTAGGCAATTTAGTGACATCCTGGTCAAAATAGAGTCATGGAGTGTAGCTCAGTGGTAGAGTAACCCTAGGTTTGATCCCCAGTACTGCCAGGAAAAAGCCCCGAGGAGTTCTACCACCATTTTGTGTATTAAATATTTACTGACTGTTTTCTAACTACAAAACTAGTTCCGAGTCGTCTTTAAAATGCCTGTGTCTGTGTGCGGGTCGCAGGCCTGACTGATGCTTCAGTCTTCACTTACTCTTTTTGGCTGACCACTGAAGAGCCTTTTCCATTTTCTTTATCATATTTGGCTATTTTTATTTATTTTATGAACCCTTTGCAGAGAGAGCCTATAAAATATTTAGTCTGGCAAGTAAATTTGAAAGTGTTATATACTCAGACGCTGTCCCGCGAGTGTCCCTCGAGGCGTCCCCTGCAGCCAGCGTGGGCCAGTGTGGGTGACCTGTGGCCAGTCAGGACAGCGCCCGCGCCCACGCTCACCCCCGGGCAGCCTCACAGGCACGTGCTGGGCTCTGCGTGGGAAGAGGGCTCTGGCCCCCGGGTCCAAAGGGCACCAGAGAGTTTTGATTTCACTGCTTCTCATTTGCTGTAATTTATTTTGCGCCTTAATATACTTTGTGATTCCCAAGTGTTACATTCTTGGTTTGTTGTGCTGCTTTCTCTGTGTGCTGTTGTGCCTCGAACGTTAATGAAAATGTCCCAAATTATAAATGGGGAGCGTTAACCCATTCTTCCGACTTGAAGATGGGAGCACATTTCTGAATTGGAAAATGAGCAAGCGAAGGAGTAAACATGTCAGACACGCAGTCAGGATGGCTCTCAGCTAAGCGCAGGGTGAGACGCAGTGAAGCACGTTGCTGCGTAAGTGCATCTTACAAGTATTATTTCTTAGTGGAAACCCTAACAATCCCTTCAGCAGAAAGGTAAGTCCAGCTTGTTTCTGTGCCAGTATTAAGTATCTCATCTATATTCTAGCCACATTTCCTCCAACTAAATAGGGCAGCACACGCCCACACAGTTATTAAAGTGTTTAATATCAGGAACATGCATGTTGCCTTCTCAACTAAGTATGTGGTTTCTAAAGCCATACCCAAGTATTTCTTACTTACGCATTTTATTTACTCATAAATATCACCAGTTTTTCTTAAGAAATGCTGTCTTATGTGGAAGAAACACAAGGTTTAGTGCACATTTGATTCTCTTCATTTGGTTACATTGAAGTAAGGGAATTTATTACTTAAAAATACGGCCACTGAGCCCTCCGTCAGCAGGCAGGTGCATGAGGCCATCCCCGTCCGGCCCTGTGCGCTGCGGCTCCTCACAGCTCTGCATCTGTGAGCTGTGCGGTCCCCACGGCGCGGAGCGGCTGCTGGGCAGGGAGGAGCACCCAGATGCCGGGCCCTGCACACCCCACGCTGAGCTCCTGGCCCTCTGCGGACGCTTGCCAGCTTGGATGCCCGCCCTGTTAACACTTGGTCTACCTCCAGTGACTTTTGGAAGTGTCCTAAGAAGTAACATCCATAAAAATTACAGTTCTGTACTAAAAATCTCACCTAAGGGTGGGGATATAGCTCAGCGGCACAGTGCCTGCCTGGCAAGTGCAAGGTTGTGAGTTCAATTCCCAGTACCAAAAAATATTTTTTTTACCTAAGAAAGATAAGTAAGTGAGAGACGCTTGTCTCCTGTCTTCGTCCTGTCCTCCCTCCTTTCCTCCTTGCTGCCTGCTCATCCTTCCTCTCTGAGCTGGGAAGGGGACGTCCTCCAGCCGCCTCGCCCCTATCGGAGCAGGGCTGTAACGACTGAGAGTGCTGCCTGGCTGCCTGGCCGTCTACAAGGAGTGATGCCAAGGCGTGTGCTCCCACGCCCCTGCCCTGCCCTTGACCTTCCCCCGGGGTGGGGATCCCTTTGAAGAGGCGCCTCCTGAAGAGAGCAGTCTTGCCTTCCGAAGTCCCCTCAGCTGCCGGGATGGTTCTTTTCACCTTTGAAAGCTCAGGTTTTGTAGCAAGCCGTATAGCCTTGGGCCAGGGTTAAACCTGCCCTTGGAATGCTAGAGAACCCTCCCCATGGGGCCTGGGACCACCTGCCGTCCTCCCGTCCTCCCTGCTGGAGTGAAGGTCCTGCCTACCGCACCCGGTCAGTGCAGCTGTAACCTTGTGTTCCACAGAGGAGGAGCAGGTCAGGAGCTCGCTCAGCCGGGCTCCCCACAGCCTGTGCCCCAGGTCTCTGTCCCTTGCCACCTTGCCTGCCCACCCAGGCTCAAGCTGTGGTAACACAACTCCGGGGTGTCGGGCAGGATGCATCCATGTTCTTTGTCCACAGAAAATGTGTTGTGCGTGTGCTGTGTGTGTCTGTCCCTGTGAAATGCTCCCGTGACTGGGTGGCTAGGGGCTCCCAGGCCTGTGGGGCTCAGCGTGTGGCGTCTCTCCCTCCACCTCCCCTGCATCTTCGAGGCTGAAGCAGGAAGCCAGCTTCTCTGTGCTTGGATTTCCCCTGGAAACTAAACTCACACTCAGTTAACTGCAGGGTTTGTAACTGTAAAGCCCGAGTTACTCATTTAAAGGTCCTTCACCGGCCTACTCTGCCTGTCGGGCGGAGACAGTCACGGTGTGCGCTCTGGACCCTCTGCCTTGGCCTCTGCAGTGCTCAGTGGGTGGGGGGAGCGCTCGACCCACACGGTTCCTTTCCTGGCTCAGGTCGAGGTTAGCTCTTGCCTTTCTCTCTGCAGATGTGACCACACCAGAATCTCCAAAGAGCCTCGGAGAGCCACTGCAGGTGAACGGGGGCTCGCTGTCACCAGCACAGCCAGGAAAGAGCGGGCCGAGCCCTGCCAGGCTGGCACCTGTGGCCCGGAAGAGGCTGCTCAAGGCCCCGACACTGGCCGAGCTGGACAGCTCTGACTCCGAGGTGAGGCCTTGGCTAGGCAGGACGTGGGGTTGGCAGTGAGGGTGGCAGGGAGGCCGTGGGCGGCCTCCTGCTGTTGGTGTCCGCCGATGCACGGGTGTGGTTTGTAGAGTAGGTGTGAAAGTTGGACATGCTTGGTCATAAATTACAAGCCGAGTTAAGGCAGCAGTTTCCAAATTTATGTCACTGTACCCTTTGTTGTGGAAAGGAAAAAGTAGCCAAGCAGAACCTTTGTGTGATTGTCTTTCCTCCAAGGGTTCTTCCTGCAGCTTGAGCGCTGGCAGGTGAGCCTGCAGGAGGAGGCAGTGCGTAGCATGCCCTGGCCTCATGCCGCCTTCCCAGGTCTGCAGCCCTGCAGGTCCAGACCCCCAGCTTCGGGCCGAGTGTATTTATGTTGCTGACTTTCCTCTACGAGAGTCTTGCCCCGCCCCGCCCCGCCCCGCCCCGCAGGCTCCTGAGGGAGGACGCAGGGCGCAGGAAGCCGCGCTTTGATCCTGCTGCTGGGGGGCCGGTCAGCATGCACGAGCTTCGCCCCGAGTGGCTGACCAGCGCTCACCTCCTACGCGTCCACTGCTCGGCGCCCTGCGTACCCCGCCTCAGTCGGTCTCCTTCCCAGGCCACTTGACTTATTTTAGCAGTATTAGAGATTGAACCCAAAGCCTTCACATTGAGCAGTGTGTCCAAACCTTTCTTCATTTTTACTTTTACTTATTTGTTTGTTTGTTTGTTTACTTTTGGTACCGGGAATTGAACTCAGGACCTGGCACTTTCCAGGCAAGCCCTTGTGCTGCTGAGCTATATTCCTGAGCCCCCCTTTTTTTTTGTTTCTTTGAGACAGGGTCTCATATGCAGTTCAGGCTGGCCTTGAGCCTACTTTGTAGCCCAGGCTGATCTTGAACTTGCATCGATCCTCCAGCTTCAGCCTCCCAAGTGCTGGAATTACAGGCGTGCGCCACCACACCCAGCCTTCCATTTTTATTTTGAGACAGGGTCTTGCTAAATCGCTCAGTTGCCCAGGCTAGGTTCAAGTTTGGGATCTTCCTGTCTCAGCCTCCTGGAATCCTGGGATTATAGTTGTGGCTTCTATAGACTTTATATTCTTTCAAGAAAGAGCTTCTTCTGTTCCAGGATCAGACCTATGCTCATCTGTAGAGGACAGTTTTCATTTGATATCATTGTCCGCCAGTAATTTCCTGTTACTCATTGCTAATTTTCAGGTCCAAATTACCACAAAGAACAGTTCACCATTTAAATAACCCCTATTTAATTATTTAATTATTTCTGAATTTCCTTGTACTCGGTCCCTACATGACTGTAGACCAGACGTGCATATGAAACACAATTGTAATGAATTATTTATCAATTATGAGCTCAACTGCTTATGCAGAAGGAAAAAAGCTCTTAATCATTTTAGCAGGGTGAGACACCAGCTTGCTTTCCCACTCTTCAGTGCCCAGCTCTGTGCTGTGGCGGGGCCCCGACGGCAGCACTGCGCGCTGCCCGGCTCCCGGGGCTGTGGGTCGCAGCCTGCGTCTGAGGGCGCGGACTGCAGGCCGAGCTGGCTGCAGGCGTCTGGCTGTCCAGCCAGCCCCCCGCCGCCGCACTGACCCTGGCCGCTTGGCCCTGATCCTGTGGGAGCTCTGGACACACAACAGTTGTTAACTTGTCTGTTCCTTGTGACCCCTCAGCTTCTCTTAGAATATCTCTAACTGCCTTTGCTAGGTGGAAGAATATACTTTTTTTTTTTTTTTTTTTTTGGCTTTTTGAGACAGGGCCTCACTAGGTATATGTACTATGGGCTGGCCTTGAACTCAGAGCAGTCCTCTTGCCTCAGCCTCCCAAGTGCTGGGATGACAGGCATGCACCATCACCAGCTAGGATGCACATTCTTACGGTTTTTGATCTGTAGTGCCGAGTCCCTTAAAGGAGACTAAAGCGGCTGCTTTTTACTGAGCTAGCTCTGACTTAGACATTAGATGTTAATTAATTCACCTTCACAGAGGTGTGAGAAGGCCACTGTGATCCTTATGTAAAGAAGAAGGGTACTTTTGCCAAGTGTGGTAGCACATGGCTGTACTACTGGCTACTTGGGAAGCTGAGGCAGGAGAGTCTGAGGTCAACCTGAGCAACATACTGAATCCCTGTCTCAAAATATAAAGGACTGGAGATGTAGCTCAGTGCAAAGACCCTGAGGTAATCTTAGGATTGCAGAAGAAAAAAAGGTTTGAAACTTTTGAAATAAGGACACTGACTTCTTTCCACATCATATAAATCTTCCACCTGTTACTATAATAAGGAAACAGGCAGAAGGATGTGTATGAGTTAGCAAGTGACAGAGCAAGGTCTGGAGCCCGTGTCCATCTGCACAGCCTGCGTGGTGTGTGAGTGCTGGTATTCCCAGCAGCGCTGTGTGAGAATGCCGGAATTTAACAAAAACGTCTTTCCTTTTCAGAGAGAAAACCCAGCCCCAGTAGAGGTAGAGACCAGGCTGTAAAACCCGTTAGGCCCTTTGTAGCAGAGCCCCTGTTCGATTAGACTCCTGTGCCAGACCGTGGTTGGTTCTGAACCTCGGTCACCCCAGTGCAGCCTGGCACCTTCTCTCGTCCCATAGTGAGTTCTGATTGCTGCCGAGTCAGAGCCTTTGGGACTGCCCCTCCCTGGCCTCCTTCCAGGAAGAGGAAGTAAGCGAGGGGCCCAGGTTGGCAGCCGGCGGCAGTGCCCTCCAGCACGCCTGGGAATAAAGATTGGTTCTGGAGTCTTCTTTCCTGAGCGTCTTTAGGAGATACGATCAGACACACACCGGTGCTGCTGCCAAGTGCCGCCAACAGAAAGGCAGTTCCTAAAAACATGACGCTGCCTCCTCAGCCACCTGCGTCACCAGATCTGGCACCGTGTGGCTTCTGGCTCTTCCCCAAAGTCAGCATGGCCACGAAAGGGAGACGTTTTGAGTCGATTCAGGACATTGAGGCAGCCAGGACAGCGCAGCTAAAGACCCTCAGGAAAGAGGACTCCAGAGCTGCTGCAGAAAGCGGCAGCGACGATGTTGGGATGAGTGTGCTGGAAGTGTGGGGCGGATTTTGAGAGGGCTAACGGTGGCAGTGTGTCTGCAGTGTAACAGATTCTTTTTCATTTGAACTTCCATGGTACCTGTCGCTTGCACCTTCCACTTGCCCTGAGCCTTGGGCAGTGCTTGGTGCCTCCGCTATTTGGGGGTGCGCTGTTGCTAACTGCAGTGCTAATGCCCCCCCCAGGAGGAAGCCCCACGCAAGTCCAGCAGCAGCAGCAGCAGCGTATCCCCCTCGCAGCTCGAGGACCCTGTCCTGGAGGCCGTGTGCACAAGGAAGCGTGAGTGCCCCCCACGTGCTGAGAATGCCTGTCGCACACCTTGTGCAGCCCCAGAGTCCCATGGTCCTCGGGGCGTGAAGACCTCAGGCTGGCATCACACTAGGCAGGAGCAGAGACTCAGGTGTCCCCAGTCGGCAGCCCTGGACACGTACCCGAGCCCACATACCTGGTTCGAGGGAGAATGCGCGCCTTGTAGACATGGTCAGAGCAGGGCGGCCGTGTCCCTGCGCTTCACCCCAGGCCCACACCTGCGGGGACAGGCTGTGAGCACTGGTTACAGCTCTGGGGGCTGTGGATTCTGAACACAGGTGCCTGAACGCGAGGGTTTCTGAAGGCTGTTAGTGACCCTTCCCCTTGCAAGGTCATTCACTGTGAAGGGTAAATAACGCTGAGGTATTCTTGGAGCAGCATCTTGATTTCACACACACCAGAGATTTAGTGGCTCGGACTCTGCGTGGCGTTTTGGCAGCCTAAACAGGCCACCTCAGGTGCTCGGGTAGGAGCTGGAGCTGGGCCAGGCCCACTGGATGTCCAGGGACCGAGCTCCTCCATGGTGATTTCTGTCTTTGCTTGACTATGGAAGTGACGTTTTGTTTTCCTTTGGGGGAGGCCTACTGCATGGGTCCCGCTGAACCCTTCCCTCTCCCCCTGAGGCTGCCTTGGGTTGCACGTAGAATAGGAAGGAAGCACAAGGAAGCCTCAGGAAGTGCATTCTATTTCTGATGCTCTCGTGCTTTCCAAAGGTGAGTCAGAGTCAAGCAGAGACCTGAGACTCTCCTTTCAAACACTGTCCCAAAGCAGAGCACATAGTGCAGTGTTAATGTTAACACTGAAGTTCTTTCAGTCTCAGGATAGCTTAATTTAAATGTAAGGACAAAATGTCTTAAACATACAGAAAGAAGAGTTTTCATATTTCATCTTTATAGAGGAGAGCGTAGAAAGAGGGATCCCTTGAGAATCTTGGTGCGCCCTGGAATTCTTTTTGGTTATGCAGAATACAGCAACACCGGGTGACGAGCGCTGCTTTTCACGAACAGTTAGGTTCACTCACGAAAGTGTTTGGCAGAATTCTGCTTTCATTCCTGAATTCCAACTGGGGGCCAAACATGGCCGTGGCCAGCTTCCTTGGAATCATGGGATGAATTAAGCTTGTGAACCGAGGTACTGCTGTATATATTTTTACATGTTTTTGTTTTTGTTTTTGTTTTCCGGTACTGGGAATCGAACACATTTTTACATGTTTTTAAAGTAATTCCCTGGACTTGGATTGTCAGATTTTATAATAAGCACCCTGAGGGAATGTGTGGGTCCCAGGCTGAGTTGCACTTAACACCCCATTTTCCTGCGTGGACTTGGATGCATAGTGAACGCATAGCACAGTGCTTCTACCTCTTCCCTGTTCCTGCTCAAGTCTGTCTAGCAAACCCTTCCGTAGCGATCCTGATGTCTCCCCTTAGGCCTGTGCCAAAGGCTTTTCTATTAGGAAAGTCAGAGTGGAGATGCTTATTTGTAAGCAAGTCTACTTATTTGTTTAAATCCTCAGAGCCTCCGAAGTTCCTGCCCATATCATCCACGCCCCAGCCGGAGAGGCGGCAGCCGCCACAGAGACGCCACTCCATCGAGAAGGAGACACCCACGAATGTGCGGCAGTTCCTGCCGCCGTCCAGGCAGAGCTCCCGTTCTCTGGTGAGTGCCAGCCGAAGACCCCGACCCCTCACTTGCTTTCAGAATGACAGGGTGAGCCCGGCAGTGCCACAGGCTGTCATCCCAGCACTCTGGAGGCTGAGGCAGCTGGAGTGCAAGTTTCAGCCCAGCGGAGGCAATTTAGGGAGACCCTGTCTAAAAGTTTAAAAAAAAAAAAAGAACTGGGAATGCGGCTCAGTGCAAAGGCCCTGGGTTCAGCCCCGCCAGTAATGAGAAAAAAAGATTAAGGAGGAAAACCTTCGGAAGATTACAGTGAACTTTGAGTAACTTCTTACTATCTAAAAAGAAAAGAGGCTCTGATTGAAACTTGAAATTCAACCAGTTTTTGTTCATTTTGAGTCCTTTTTTCTCCAGATCTAGCAGTGAATTATTAAAGAAATGCTTTCTGCCTTTAAATGGGTACTAATGCATTTAACAATTGTTAAGAACAGATCAGAAGACTCTTAGCAAAGCCTGACTGCCGTGGACAAGTTTTACAAAATGGCACACAAGCACGGGACAGGGAGGCTCTCAGCCAGGGGCAGCCACTGCATGTTGTCGCGGTCGGTTGGTGTTTGCGGTACCGGGCAGGAGCTGCCTCGGTTCAGGGCGGCCCTGCGGGCGAGCTGGAGGATGCACCTTATCAGCCCCCGCTCCAGAGCCTGCGAGTGCAGTGAGCACAGCCCCCACCATGCGCGGCCGCAGCCTGGTGCCAGGGACGTGGGCACTAGGACGTGCCAGAATCAGTGCAGGCTCACAGGAAGCAGCGACAGATGCCATCCTCAGACACAGGCACACCCGGCACCGGGAGCATGGCCAGCCGTCCCTCCTTCAGCCGACACAGTTAAGAGTTATTGGCGGGCCAGAGATACAGCTCAGCAGCACAAGCGCCTACCTGGCAAGCACAAGGTCCTGAGTTCAATTCCCGGTACCAAAAAAAAAAAAAAAAGAGTTAGTGGCCATCCTGGTGAGTCCCCTACCCTGCACAGTCACGGGCACGCTGCTGTCCAAGGAGCTCAGCCTCTCTGTGGCCTGCAGAGACAAGCAGAACCCTGGCCAGACAGGCTCAAGCTCGGAACTCCAAAGCCTTCCCCCAGTCGCAATAAGCTGTTACTCTACCAAAACACGTTTATTGTCACAACCTAAAAGTGTGAAAGAGGCACTCCCTTGCGATATCTTCTCTGCATCCAGCTTCTCCCAGAAGTCGGTCGGTCCCCTCCCAGCCTGGCGTCTGTGATCACACAGCATCACTATGGAGCCCAGACCTGGTCACCAGTGTGGAGGAGCCTCCAGGGCAGCACGGAGCGTGGCAGGGCCGAGGCGGCGACGCCTCTGTCCTCCGCGCTGGACTTGCAGTGTGCGCCTGGTCGGCCTGAGCTGTTTCGGGTGACGGAAGGGCAGCAGGGGGAGGATTTGCAGCCAGTAGGAGGAGTGCTGGGACAGGCAGGAGAGCAAGGCCTGGTCTGCATGGAGGGCGCACGCGGAGGGCGGTGGGAGGCCCTTCCACGGCCTTTGCCTCTCTGGTCCCTTCCTGGAGGTCCCTGAAGTCCCACTGTGCTGGTGGCACCCTCCAGCTCAGTAAGCACCATTTGTAAAGTACGGGAATTGGTTTAAAATTCAGCTGCGTTTTAGAAAACAAGGAATTTCTTGTTTGTCACCCCTCAGCCGAAAATGGCAGGAATGTTTTTGTTGTGGATAACTTTTCTCTCTCTGTAGGATGGTAAAACGTAATTTTCCCGTCATGCACTCAGAGGGGGGGTGGGGCTGGGCGTGTGGTGTGGGGGCCGAGTCCCCACAGGTCCCCGGCAGCAGGAGACTCCCGGGCTGTGTGGCCTGAGGTCTGGCTTGCACACGGGCGCTGCAGCGGCAGGGCCGTCTCCGTCCGGTGGCGTCTCGCTTCGTGTTTTCATTCATGGTCTGTGGTTGCTGTTCGCAGGTCACCCAAGCTCAGCACGAATGTCTGCTTTTCTCTCCCTGCCGTTTCTCTCCTGTCGTTCAGGTTCCTAGGACGACCGGTGTATGGCCCAGGACGCCTTTCCGACCGCTTTTCTCTACCATACACACGGCTTCTCTGCTCGGCTCCCACCCTCTGGAAGCAGCCGTGTTTGGGGTGGCAGGGGCTGTGTATTATCTGTGTGAGAGAGCTTTGGCCAGCAGGTGGAGACCCGCACAGGTTGGCCTCTTTCCACTGGTTCTGGGGCCCTTTCTCGCTGTCTCTCTCTGACAGTGACGGCTGCTGCACTCAGAAAATTAACTGCTTCCGGTCGATGATTCCAGTCTCGTAGGGTGCGTAGATCGCGCCATGGTCTCTCTCCAGAGGGAAGCAAATCGCTGAGAGGACAACAGACTCACAATGCAGCATCAGACAGGAGAGCGGCTCTGTCTGTGTCGCAGTGACTCACGGGCTCCACGCAGCAGGGACCTTTCCTCCCGGGCCTCGCTGCCCTCCGCCAGCTGCTTCCCGGGGAGCAGCCTCTGCCGCCCGCCGCCCCCCCGCGCTGCCGTCCCTGAGATCGTCCCTGGGCTCTGAGGCCGCTTCCCACACCGCCACGTGCTGTGATGCCACTTGTTGCTTCTCTGTCAAGAAAAATCGCAGCATTTCTTTCTGTTGATGAAGACGTTAAGTAATTCTGTGTTTTGCTACCTTTGTGCAGATTTGCCTCGGACAGTAAAGTCCTCTGTCACCCCTTGTCTGCCTGTACGCTGGGAACCCCAAACCCCAGGGCCCAGCTCTTCGTGGCCTCACTAGGTGTCCTCAGCAGGGGACCCGGCAGCCACTTTCCTTTTAGTTTTTGTTCCTCATCCTGGCCCACCGAGGAGGCTCTGCAGGAAGAAAGGAAGCTCTGGGACTTGTCCTGCAATCTGTTTGTGCCTGGAACACGGGCCAGGTACAGGGTGGCATTTGTGATCCACACCCCGAAGCCGCAGGCACTGCGGCCCACAGGCTGCCCTCGGCCAGTGAGGGCTCCTCTGAGCTTCGGCACTGAAAGTAACTAAACTTGATAGTTACTACTTTTATTTAAATTTATCTTCATTTGGTTTATTAAATCCTTGAGAATGAGGGGTTGTTTTGCATAACTTTCACGAGTCTGCCTATTCTGTATGGGAGTTTTCCTAACCAAGAACATTATATAAAAGGTAGCAGCTCCCATTTACCTCTGTGGGCAGCCCTGGGACACTGCGTTCTGCTCGCTAACCCTGTGCTGACTCGGCACTTGCTAGTATGGTAGGACATGTCCGGGACAGTCAGTAAAAGCCCAGACGATTTCTGGGGGTGTGTCCGTCACTGCGGCACATGATACGTTCACTAGAACTCTAAAATTTAGTCTCCTTTCCTAAATTTGAGTCTCATGGAAGCACAGAAGCAGAGAAGCAGGCTGTGCAGGCGGAGCTGCGGCCCAGGCGCGTCCAGGGTGGCAGCCGCGGGGACCACACTCAGGGTCGCGTTGGGCAGGACTGGGTCACCCCAGCCCCGGGAGCACTGGTAGTCCAGCGGCATGGGGATGTTCAGTGAACATTTTGTCAATTTGAAAAATAACTGAAACCACCCTAGTAACTACTTACCGCTTTACTTGATGTTGCATTCGAGTCTTGTTGTCCTTGGGGAAGCTCCAGAATCAGAACATTAGCATTTGACCTGTGGGACACTATTTCACTAAGCCAGGTCTGCTTGACATTTTGTAAAAGAGTAAGAAAACAGGGAAGCAGAAGTCTGTGACTTCTCCGGAGGTGCTGGACGTGGAGTCGAGGCTGGCGAGTGCCCTTGTGACTCGCGGCTGGGGAGGCACGGGGCGAGGTCTGCGACCTCCCCCTCGGCGCAGCCAGTGCGCACAGGGTGGCGGGGCTGCCTCCCATTCACTAGCTCCCTGGGGGCGCAGGCACCTCTGGCTGCCTGGTCAGCTGCTAGATGGCCAGGCCTGGAGTGCCGCCTGGGCACCTGCCAGACCCAGGCCTGACTCCGTCCAGCTCAGCAGCTCTGCCCTCCGAGCCTCACAGAGTGACAAATGCAGAGGTTGCGGAGAAACACCTTCCGAAACGTTCCTCCCTCTGCCGTGCCCGGTGGCAGCCCAGCCTCAGGCGTTGACTGTGCCGAGCGAGGCGTCCGTGTTCAGGGTGAGGCCTTTCAATGCTCGCCTTGGAGAGAGGGGGCCGGATGGTGACAGGCGGTGGCTGCCCTGAGGGACATAGCCTCTGTGAGCCAGGCCTGCCCTCCGAGGGCCGCGTCTGTGCCCCTGGAAGCAGCAGCGCAGTCGCAGGGCTTTCTGCAAGGCTTTGTAAGCAGATGTGACTTCCCGGGGGTGAGCGTCGACAGAGCCAGTGTCCCCTCATTTCAGTAAGAAGCAGCAGTTCACACTGTTCTTTCTTGTACAGTAAATGCTAATGTTTGTCATTTGCGATGTAGATTCTTGTTTTTTCTGATGGAAAGACAGAACCGAACGTCAGAACCACACAGGCCAACTGCGCCACGCACAGCTGTGTGCTTCTCGCCCGCGGCGCCCGTGAGCGGCGCTGTGTGGGGAGAATCCTGATGCGTCTGTCGGGACCTTCAGCTCACGTCAGCAGCCCACAAGGGGCCCTGAAGCCCAGCGGCCAGAAGGCCGAGACGTTCTGTCTTTCTCTTAGATCCCCGATCCTGAGCTGGCCCGATGGCGCACAGATGGGCGCGGCGCCTGTTCTCAGGGATCAGTGACACCCTCGCCTTCGCAGCCGGTTGTAGGGCACAGGCACGGGCATAGGCGGCAGCCGGCATACATACTTACCACGAGTCGCCCGGGCCCCTCGCTGTGTGCTGACTGCACGCCCGGTGTTGCTGAAAGCTGGGCTGGCAGCCTCTGGGTGGAAGCCACCCGGGCTTGATGTCGCAGCCCACGGAGCCCGCAGGGTCTTGGCGAAGTGTGCTGATGTCACTGACCCCTTGTAACGCTTGTCAGAACCAAGCACTAACCACCCTCCTCCGGGTACCACAGCAGGGCCGGTGTCGCAGGCGTGCTGTCGCAGGCTTGCACACTGCACACGTCTACGCAGTTGTGGGAGAGAAATGACTAAAAATTGGCTTAATGCAACAAAATTACTTTCAAAATTCCAAACACACTGTAATAATGGAATAGAAGTATGGGAGGCGCGCAGCCTGCCCCATGGAGGCGCCTTCAAGGCCTGACATTGGACGGCCAGACATTCCCATGGCCCCACGTCCTGCTGTCACCGGAATGGTGTGATCCCTGGCTCTGCCCTCAGATCACAGAAGCTCTCCTCTGCCCTCCTCTCCTCTCTGAGCTACTAACTGTGTGTGTGCGTGGCCGGCGGCAGCACTGCAGGGTGGCGTGTGACTGGGCCCCCCCTTGCAGGAGGAGTTCTGCTACCCGGTGGAGTGCCTGGCGCTCACCGTGGAGGAGGTGATGCACATCCGGCAGGTGCTGGTCAAGGCAGAGCTGGAGAAGTACCAGCAGTACAAGGATGTCTATACCGCCCTGAAGAAGGGGAAGGTAGGCCTTCCAGTAGTGCTGGCGGAGGTGGGGGGGTGCGGTCTCGTCGGGGGTCTGGAGGTGAGGGTCACACTGTGGTGACCGCCTTGGACCCTCGTGGCATGCAGCCGTCTGGCTGTGGAAAGGTCTGTGGAGCAGGGAGCGCTTCTCAGAGCCTCCTCTCACAGCCCGAGCCCTGCCCTGGAGCCCACTCAGTTGGGAGCCTCAGAGGCGGACAGAGGTGGACTCAGCTCCTTAGCTCCTCCTGCTCCCCGCGAGGACGAGCAGCAGCCGGCCGTAGGGGGAGCAGCCGTCTCCTTCCTCCTCTCCTCTGAACTTTGTATCTTCAGCTCTGTTTCTGCTGCCGAACCCGGAGGTTCTCCTTCTTCGCCTGGTCATACACCTGTCAGTTCTGCAAGAGGTGAGGCCCTGTCCCCATGGGGTCATGACTTGGAGGCTGGGAGATGCATGGTGCCTGGGCCCCTGCGTCCCCGGCCTTGGGAACGTTCATTTCTTTAAGTCTGCCTGTTCCTGCTGTTGGACCTGGAGGTGTCCCTCTTAGGTGAACAAGGGAACTCAAATAAGCAGTCAGGTTCAAACAGAAAACAAAACACAAAGGTGTGGTCACCTCCAGAGGGGCTAGACGAGCTGGGGTGCTCCGGGCGGAGCTGGCGCTGTCCTGAGAGGCCCGCAGTCTTGCTTCGGTGCCCAAGGCGTGGCCCTGTTGCCTCTGACGGGAGGGGCTGGCGGTGCCAGGGAAAGTCTCGACGTTGCGCCCTCTGCCACACCAGTAACGCTCTGATTTGTACACAGGCCGGTGTGCTCGCAGTGCTGCAAGAAGGTAAGCCGAGCTCGGTGGGGGCGCGAGGGCCCCAGGCCTTCTCTGCCCCTCCCTTGCTCACGCTCCACCTTTGGTGAGCAGATGCGGCTGCCCTCCAAGCCATACTCCACGCTCCCCATCTTCTCCCTGGGACCTTCTGCCTTGCAAAGAGGAGACAGTGTTCCATCAGAAAAGCCCTCCGCTGGCCACCATCGGCCGCTTCGGAGCATCGCCAGGTGGGTGGGGCTGCGCCCCTGGTGTCCTGGCAGGAGCAGGAGGCGGCCTTGGGGCCTGGGGAGGTTGGCGCACTGGCACAGGGAGGCTTCAGCCATCTGGAGGTGAGCTGTCGGGGTGATGGCTGCTGGCTGAGAGGGTGCTTTGATCGTGTCGTTCATATATTTTCTACTGTTGAACTAATATCTCACTGCGTCCTTTTAAAGTTATCGTTAAAATGACCTGTTTGCAATAGAGTTGGAAACTTGCATATAACATCTAATCCTACTTCCCATTCGGGCTGCCATTTGAGTGGGGACACATTGCCCGAGTGTGTCCACCTTCAGGGTGTCCGAGAGGTTAGCACCCCGAGGAGGAGGCAGGCAGCTCGGGGGGCTGCCATATCGGGGGACTCGAGGTGAGCCAGTCGCCAGCCTGTGGCGGAGCCTGGACGCTGTTCTCTGGGTGCTGAGACACTGTCCCCATGGCACCCTCTGGGGGGTGTGGCTCCAGCAGCAGGTGACAGCAACACACACACAATCTCGTAGCTGAGTGGCAGTCAGAGGAGTCCCTGTTTCCCAGAATTCTAGAGGAATGACTTTCAGTTTGTTTCTTAATGAAATATGTTTCTGGTGTCTTGTCAAGAAACATTTTGAGCCTCGTCTCCACTCAGAAGTCCTGCTTTGGAGGAGCGTGCCGCGGTTAAGTCCCTCGCTGTCATACAGCACTGTGCAGCAAGTTGCTTTCACACAATTCAGCAGTACCACAAACAGCAAACAGCAATGACAGCAAGGACCTGAGCAGCTCTGGGGCTTTCTTGCAGGTTCTCCTCGAAGTCCAGGTCTGTGGACAAGGCGGATGAGGAGCTGCAGTTCCCCAAGGAGCTCACGGAGGACTGGAGCGCCATGGAGGTGTGCGTGGACTGCAAGAAGTTCATCTCCGAGATCATCAGCTCCAGCCGGCGCAGCCTGGTGCTGGCCAACAAGCGAGCCCGGTTGAAGCGCAAGACGCAGTCTTTCTATGTGTCCTCGCCAGGCACCGCAGAGTACTGTCCCTCGGAGCGGACCATCAGTGAGATCTGAGCCGTGCCTTCAGCCGCCCCTCCCGCACCCACTGGGCCCTCCCCAGTTACGAGGCTCGAGCTTGCATTAGGCCCCACCTCACACACGTCATCTCCAGGGATGACGAGGGACAGACAGGTTAGGGGGACAGGGGGGTGAGACTGGCTTTGGCGTGTGTGGACGTGGAGGCTGGATGCCGTGTCCTGCGTGGGCTCCCTGTGGTCCCTTGATGTGTCCCCAACTAGGGTGCGAAGCTTCTCGGGTGAGAAGTCAGCCTGCTGGTGCCGCTGTCAGCACGCGCCGCAGCAGTAAGTCACATTGGCACCTCTGCGCCACCGTGTCCTCCCCGACATACGCCCTGGCTCCGGGTCCCTGCAAGGGCACTGACGCTGCCCAGCCCCCAAGGTCCGGGTCACACCGGGACTCCACCTGCACGCTGGTGCAGAGCTGCTAGCCCCAGGGTGGCCCAGGCCACAGCCCCGTGTCCCGTGGTGCGGGCCACGCCCTGCCCTGAATGTATTACCGCCACTAACAGTTTTATGATGGAGCTCGAGGCGGCGAGGTTCTGTGCCGTTTGGGGACCCAGCACTAAGTCTGAGCGGCTGAGTATTCTGGTGACGAGGCCGTGGGCGCGAAGGGTGCAGGGGAAGGAGCTGGAGCTCATGCGTCTGCAGTGCGTTTTTCATAACTTTATAGTGCAGCTTTCTCAACTAAATTAAGCCACAATTTAGTACCTAAGGTCTCAAACTGAAGTTTATTTTTGTAAATGAATTTTAAAAGAAAAAGATACCTAGCCGTTTGAAAAGTACAAGAAAGTTCCCTTGCATCCGGCAAGATGTTGGGACGCTCTGCTCTTTCCCTTGAGGGTGACTTAGGCAGAGGACCCGGTGTCCCCTGCAGGTCACAGGACCCCGGCACTGCGCGTGCAGAATCGGAGTCTCAGCCTTCATGGCCCAGGCCTTAGCTGGCCTTAGTTACTGTGGTGTACCGAGGGTCGGCAGCCAAGTCACCACGGCGTCTGGAAACCAGTCAGTACGCATGCACGGCGCTTCCTGACCCAGGACACAGCGTGGCCACACTCGGCCTTCCCCGGCAGGCAGCCGCTCCACCCTCCCAGACAGGCCCGGCCTCCGGTCAGGAACAGTAATACCTCAGAACTGCCCCAGTAGTAGTTTTTAATGGATGGAAATTTACAGTTTAGTAAATGGCTTTAAACTACTTAAACTTATGAAATAAACTTTACGAATTGACTAAAATAATGCACGTTAATAGTTCATCTGTATTTCATGTAAAAGTAAAAAAAAAAACCCTGACCGTGTTTCAGTCACCTTAAAGACTCTTGTTTAAGAGCTTTAAAAATTATATTGGGCAGCCTTGTTTATAAATTTCCCAAGACACTATCGGAGCTCCATACCCGCTTCCTGGACCTGACTTGAGCTTCACCGAGGACAGGGCCCAGGCAAGGGCTGGTGCAGACGGACGCGCCTGCCTGGCGTGACTCGCACACATGGGAGCCAGCACCCAGGAGGCTGGAAAAACGCAGGCTTGGGCTTGCTGGGAAGCTCGGTGAGACCCTGCCTCCAATAAAAATGTAGAGGGGCTGGGGAAGCTGAGCATTTGCCCAGCATGTGTAAGGCCTTGGGTTTGATCCCCAGCACTGCAAAAACAAAATAACAGTAAAAAAATAAACCTAGGATAATGTCCTTTTGAAAATGACGAGTAGTTGCTGCCTGTATTCAACATGAGAAACTGACCTTCCCAAATGAGCATTTCATTCTGGTCCCCAGAGTAGTTGCCAGTGCATCTGTTTATGTCCTTCACGGCCGGGTGTGTGGTTCGGCACAGCCCGGCCCCTCGATGGCCCTCACCAGGGCGAGGGCTGTGAACCCGTCAGGGTGGCAATGAGGGTGGCCACGAACGCTGAGGTCAGAGATGGTGTTGTCCACGCTGGGTGGAGCTGTGGGTCTCCAGCTGCCCGCCCCTGCTGTGCTCTGTGCCCAGCTCCGTGGCTGCCGGTCCCCTCCCACAGTACCCGCCTCACTGCACACACCGCCGGGCCCTCCCTGTCCTCTGTCCCTGGCCTCCCCAGGATGTCTGCCCCTGACAGGTCCCCTTGGTCAGTGTCAGGGTCCTGAGAACGCTTGTGGAGGAGTCGCTGCTGGTGGACGTTTGAGACCCCCGCGGCAGCAGGCCTCACTTCGAGGCAGGCCCAACACCGGTGCACCGGCTTCACAGGCTCACAGGCCTCACCGCCGCTGCCGTTCCTGGTAAGGCAGAGGTTGAAATCCTCTGATGTTGGGGAGATTGCAAGTAGCACCGTGAACTCCTGCCATGACATTTCTGAGGCTCTTACTTTTCTATCTTAAAACACGAAGATTTTGTTAGGTGCTGTAGGGAACCAGGAAGGTTTCAACTGTGAGATGCGCGACGTGGCTCTGCATGTAACAGTCAAGGTGTGTGGTGCTCGGGGGACGCGTCAGTACGGTGCTCCCCATTAAAGTATTTCATTTTCGAATGTGTGTGGGGACGAATAAACTGGTGTCATCTTACCTCTGCACCGTGTGCCTGCTGTGCTGGTGCTGTGCTTGGTACCCAGGCTGGGAGGCAAGTCCTTCGTCACGTCGGAGGGCCACCAGGACTGGTGCGGCACAGCCACTGTTTCTAAGCCCACTAAGGCAGTGTGCACACGGAGGCTGTTATGGGAGGTAGGTAATGTTCTAATCACTGCAGAGAGGTGTGACAGACCGCCTGTACATTCTTAATGGGTGCAACTTGCTGAGTGTGGGTATTGGGTTAACAATTCCCCTCAGTTATTGCAGGCTGATCAGGTCTGTAGTCTCCTGAACGAGTGTAGGCGAAGGCAAAATAAAAAGAGGCAAATGGAAGGATTTCAGGGCTCCAGGAGGATCAGAGCCTCCTCACAGAATTCGAGATTCCCTCAGGGCTAAGACCAAGACCTTCTCTCGGTCACCCGTATTTATTTGGTTATCAGAAGGAAGGGAGGGGAGTACTCAAGAAGAGCAGAATCACTCAAGGACTTCTCTAAGTAAGGTATGAAGTTAATCCACCCAGGAATGAGATGCCTGAGGCTACAGTCTTTATCTAGTTGAGGTGGGAGCCAGGTGTCCTTGGCTGTGAGCTGGTCTTACCCTTTGAGGCATTCCAGCTTCATCCACCATTACAGGCCTCAGTAGGGATCAGTGACTCACAGGGGCTCACTTACTGTGAGTCCACCACCCATCCCCAGACAGGGGGCCTCGGCCTTGGACAGACTCACAGGCGAACATGGAAAGCCAATTGGTTAATTTAAGTCCTGCTCAGGGCTGCTTCACAGTGGTCTACATCATTTGGGAGAAAGCCTTTAGCTTTTTCTAATTCTTTGTTTTTGTTTGTTTTGTTGTTGTCTGAGATAGGGTCTGATTCCCTTCCTCAGGCTGCGTCCAAACACCTGGGTTCAGAGATCCTGCCTCAGCGCCCTGCATATCACCATAGGCAGCTTTCATGTATACTTTTTAAAGCACATTCTTCAAAGGCCATATTCCTCAAACATGAGGGAGGAACTTATGCTTTTATGTTAACTAGAATCACATCAATTCGGTGCATCTTTTTTATTTTACTTTATTTTTGTGTTTTTGAGACAGTTCAGGCTGGCCTTGAGCTCACTTTGTAGCCCAGGCTGGTCTCAAACTTGCCACAATCCTCCTGCCTTAGCCTCCTGAGTGCTGGAATTATAGGCATGTGCCACCATGCCCAGCTATCTGCATATCTTAAATATTATATGATACGGAGTTTGATATTAATTTGTTTACACAGCGGGGCTTTTTTTACACAGCTGGAAGCTGGAAGCTGAATTCTTGACATTCTTCAGGAGCACCTTTTACTGATGCTCTGGGCAATGTGTTGGTCACCTCTTAATGTGCCTGGTTCCCATAGAGGGAGAGCTCTATGCTGAAAACCATCACAGGGAGCAGCTTCACAGAGAACTTTTTGGAAAGGCATTAAAGGCCCCAGCATCTCTGTAGTGTCCCTGTGCTTTTCAGAAAGGCATAGAGGGCCCTGGCATCTCTGCAGTGTCTGTGTGCGCATATGTCACGTGGACACACACACCTACAGCACAGGTGTGCAAACACTTTGATGCTAATAAAATGTGCTCTGCTCCCCCAGTGAGCCAGTCCTTACCCAGAAACCTCTCTGCCCACGCAGAAAAGCTTAGCGCTCAGAGCCAGCTGCAATCCGATGCTCCCCATGCTGCTACATTTCAGATGCAGCTGCAGGGCAGCAGGGTTTGCGGGCTGCGCCATTCGAACACCATGGACGAGAATGGGCATTGAGACAGCACTGGGTGACACGGGGCTCACCACCCGCCGCCACGCGCTGCCACGTCTGGTGACAGAGGACAGAGAACACTGCCGTAGTCACCTGCTTGAGACCCAAGAGCACTCTGCCCGCGAGTGAGAACCAGACAGAACCGCACGGCCCGGCCCTTCCCGGCAGTGCCTGGCGCTCTCTAACTAAACGCGCAGGGCCACAGCCCGGCACAGGCAGCTGCCGGCCTGGCAAAGTCCAGCACACTCACAGCTTTGTTTCAATTCTGAGCAAGCGTGTGCGGCTGTAATCAGCTGACCCTCGAGCCCCTGCATGACCGCGCTGCTCAGGCTCCATAATGATCCGTCAACCCTGGGGCCGCGGGGCACGGACACCAGGCTGCCCCTGAGGAAGAGGGAGTGACCCAGGCTGGGCTGTTTCCGCGTTGGGGCGCAGCTGGCTATGAGCATGACCCGACGTGGAAGGAGGAGAAGGGCCAAGTGTGCTGCCTTTGTGGGACACTTGAGGAGCCGCTGCCTCCTGCATAAATCAGAAGCCCCAGAAAGGCGAGTGGATGCAGTGTCCCCGCCCTGGGTGTCCACCTGCCAGGGCCCTCGGCCCCAGGTGCACTTACTGACCTGACAAGGTTAGGGAAGCAGGCGTCGTGCCGACCACCTGGACCAGCTGTTGCGGCTACCTGACCTGTGGGGCAAGGAGCTGCACTCTGGGAATGAAGACGGTTTCGGGGCCCCACTCAGCAGGGTCCTATGTGGTGGTGACAGCCCGGCCAGAAGCCCACCTCCTCCCTGAGCCACACGCCTCGCCCCCTCACCCCTGGGCTTTGGCAGCCTGACCTTGAGCGCTGCAAGGGCCCAGGGACGTCTGGTCACCAGCACCTCTGGCCCACAGCAGGTACGGCCAACCTCGCTCACCAGCTCCCGGTGTGTGTGTCCAGGCCCGGGTGGCCTTCCTCCCCGCATGGCGTTGCCTCCACACCCTCACCCCCGGCGAGCCCCACGCCGTCCCCTCCAGTCACTGCTGTCCTGCCCCAGCATGCAGGGACCAAATGCCAGAGCAGGTTCCACAGGAGATTAGACAAGTGAGAAACTCGAGGGCCCTCAGGTTGGCCGTGTCCCAGTCGCTCCCCGGCAGGTGGACGCCGCTTTTCCCCACAGCTGACCACCCCGGCAGATTCCGCCCCACAGGAGCGAGGCAAGCAGCACAGCAGAACCCAGACACGGGCTTCAGAATGCCTGCCGCAACCTCTGCCTCCGTGCAGCCTCCGCCAGCCCAGCCAGCACGCACTGCCCCTTGGGCCGACACTGCGGGCCTGAGCCCGCCAGCCAGCCGCTGCCCGTGTGAAGGGCCTGCCCTCGGGGCTCAGTTCTTCCTCAGGAGGCCTCTCATAGCGTTACTGACTTAATGGCAATCACAAAGCTCACATTTAAAGTTTTACAGCACTTCAACTAAAATAGGAAACTCTTTAACATCTGTCATATTAAGATAACTGGCCAAGAACCAGTAAGAAAATCATGAAATTAAACTTTGATATTGAGTACTCTGTGCTGATTATGTTTCTACTAACACAGAATTTTTAAAGTCTTTTTTTCCTTTGAGACGGATCTCACTGCTTTCCAGGCTCGTTTCAAATTTCTGGGTCGAGTGATTCTCCTGCCTCAGCCTCCTATTAGCTGGGACTACAGGGACCCAGTTGTGCCTGGCTAATTCTAAACATATTAGGGCTGGGGTGTAGTTCGGGAGTAGAATGGGTGCCTAGCTGTGTGTCTGGCCCTGGGCTCCTTTGTGTTCTCTTGAGCACTTCCTGTACTCGCTTCCTTGGGGGCTGAGCGCTGAGCCCAGCTCTCTGCGAAGTTGCGCCCCAGCCTGGCGCCTGCCAGCACCTGAGGCCGCCCCGAGCGCCCCCACTGATGGCCTTGGTCTCAAGCTGTCCTCCCTGAGTGGCGACAGCCTGGGCTCGCTGCCTCCAGCCAGCGAACAGGTCAGATGCTCATGGAGACAGGAGGGAGGGCTGCCCAGGCAGCATGGTCAGGGGCAGAGGTGACAGACGCTCGGCTGGGGAGCACGCGGGGGTGGGAGGGAGGCCCAGGGCTCCAGAGGCCGCATCAGCTGTAGTGGCCACCGTTCCCACAGCAGTACACCCAGGAGGGCAGGCGGCAGGCTCCCCGGAGCCTCCACACCGGAGCCGTAGCCCCTGAGCTTCCTGGCTGGGGAGGGCGAGGGAGGGGCCGTGGGTGGCCTGTGGACCTGTGGGGCCTGAGTGTCCCTGCCAGGGGTAGCCAGGCCCTCACCCCTTGGGGTCCAGCCAGTAGACGCACCCAGCACTGCCACGCAGGGCCGTGGCCCGCCCTGACCCTCGGGCAAGGTCACAGCAGTGCTGCCACGGGAGCCCAGCACCCACGCAGCCCAATGGCGAGGGGGCAGAACCAGCCTGGGCTGCCAACTCGTGTCCGGTCCCAGGGCTCGAGCAGCAGCTGCGGGGACCAGGAGTGGGGACAGGTCTCAAGAACGCAAGTCGCATTCGGGAGCCAGGGCAGCACCGACCAGCCGCGGGCAAGGAAAGCCACTCCTGGAGAGGTTCGCTGTGTTTTATGTGACCGAGGGGTGGCACCGCTACACTTTCCGTCCTCTCACCTGCTCCTGCGTGGAGGGTTATTACCCCCATGCTGGGGGCTGAGCACGGGCTCGGCCGGAAGCACAGATCTTGGGGGGCTCTGGGAGACCCCAGCAGCAAGGCCCCCTCCAAGCCTGTGCCCCTCCAAGGCGAGGCGGAAATGCGGAGGCGAAGTCCCCTGCTTTTCAGGCGCCACAGAGGCCCTGGCTAGAGCAAGACCCTGCAAACACGGTGGTGGCGAGGCCCTCAAAGCCCCTCGGAGCCACGGCTTTCACCAGGGAGGGAGCCGGGCACGCACAGACCAGGACGGGCAGGGCTGACACGGCCTCAGAAGATGACGGCAGGTTTCCAGTGTCACCTGCTTTGCACGCAGCCGGCACTGCCTAGTGTGCCTGCTCCACCAAAGCGGTGCCCGGCGCCCTCCAGTGGGGAGGAGGGCACAGAGGGGCGCTCAGGCCAGGCCCTCGCAGGCTCTCTGGCTGGCAGGCGATGCCTTACTCCTTCCCTGGCAGCCCCTTGCTCACCCTCACCCCCAGGGTGGCAACCCGGGCATCACAGGCCTGGGTGGGGCTCTGAACTGAGGTCCGCAGGGTCTGCAGGCTCCTCCTCTCCAGAGGGCAGAGCTGTGGCCTCGCCGCCTCCTCTCCGCTCTTCCTCTCCGGGCCCGCCTCCGTCCCGCTCGCCTGCCTTCTGTGATTCCGTGGGTGAGGGTCTGGGTAAAGAAGGAGGCAGGTTAGCACCAGCTCCTGGAGACACAGAAGCCTACGGCTCACAAGTGACCCCGTGACGGGCGCTCACACACACACAGGCCCCAGCCCCGCGAGCTCCTTGTGCCTGCTCGGCCCGGCAGGCCTAGCATCCAGTGGAGGCGGAGTGCAACCACTGCTTCAGTCGCTAGAGCCCCACGGGCAGCCATGAGCCAGGGACGGAAGGATGGACAGACAGACGGAGGGTGGGAAGCGCAGCTCAGTGGGGCCAGGAGCCTCAAGCAGGCGTGAGGCGGGTGCCCCGAGGAGTGCCCAGCACCACTGACCACACGTCCACTTGGCTCATCGCATCCTCAGCCCAGCACGGGCAGGGAAGCTGCAGACACAGGGCGAAGCCAGCAGCTGAGCACTGGCCCCAGCAAGGGAAGCACCCGCACCACGTGCCTTACCCGTCCCAGGATGCATGTGGGCAGGGCCGGGAGCGGGTCAGCAGAAGCAACGCCCAGCACGCGTGGGTCCTGGCCCCTCCGGCACCATGTAGAAGTCTACACATTTTACCCACAGCTGGCCCTCCAGTCAGCCTTGGACTGTACTGCTCAGCCCACCACGAGCACTCTGTCCCCTCCACGTGGATACAAGTCCAGGGATAGTCAGCAGCCCAGGCCAGGCTCCCTGCCACAGGGCAGGGGGTGCAGGGGCCAGAGCAGCCCACGTCCCTGCGGTGAAGTGGGTGTACAGGGCAAGAGACACACTGCACCCTCAGCACTCCCGCTGTCACACGGAGGTCGGTACCAGGCACACGCTGCCGCGGAGAGCACTGTGTGACCCTCAGCTCACGGCGCTCTCGGAGTGCTCAATGATCCACTCGATGGCCGCCCAGCCCTGCAACGACACAGCACAGGACGGGCGTGGGCCCCACCATGACACAGCCTCCCCAGCTCCCACCATGGGGTGTCCGCCAGGGTGCCCCCGACCCAAGCCGGAACGTTAGCCCTCCCCAAGACAGGCCTTGGTCTCCCCTTCCTCCCAGGATGCCTTCCCGGCAAACTCGAGGCTCCACCCCAGCCACTCTGCGCGGGAAGCCAGCCTCCCCCAGGACCCTCCGCCCTCCCGGCCAGCGCAGCTGCCGCCGGCACTCCAGGCTGCTGCTCCTCAGGACCCGGGGCCTGGCTCTGGGGCCTGTGACTGGACGGTGCACAGCGGCTTCAGCAGGGGATAGGACAGCCCAGGTGTCACCGGGCGGAGCCCAAGATGAGAATGGAGCCCGCACAGCGGCTTCAGCAGGGGGTAGGACAGCCCAGGTGTCACCGGGCGGAGCCCAAGATGAGAATGGAGCCCGTGCGGGACACAGACGAGGGAGGTGTGGCCAAGGAAGAGCCCCCAAGGGTGAGCGTTGCCAGCGCCAGGCTCTTCAGCCACCTGTGCTCTGGGACACGTCCGGCTCCCCAACGTCCGGGCGCAGGGGCGCCATCCCCTCTCCCTTTTCCTCCACCAGCACAGGGCTCACCCACATCCTGCCAGCGGGGGCTCCACAGGCACCCTGCCTGACACTGTCGCTGTCGCTGTCACTGTGGCCTTAGGGACCCAGCACGCACAGTACGCAGCGATGAGCTCTCAGCACAGGGCCCGCACGGCTCACCTTCTTGGCATTGGATGAGATGGTGCTGGCCATGAGGCTCTCCAGGTAGCGACCGAGGCCCGTGCCCTCCACGGAAATGACAGCCTCCTGCATGAGCACCGTCCTGCAGGACAGGAGTCGGGCTGGCCACAAGGGCCCCTCAGGCCACCCCGCGTGCCCCCCAGGCCGAGACTCACTTCTCGGGGTATTCCGGGTGCGGGGTATACACCAGCCTCTCGTTCACAGACACCAGGTTCCGCAGTGTGATCTTTAGAGAGAGACAAGCCTTCAGGTTCTGCACCTCCTGCCTCCCGCCCCATGGCCCTGCCTGGACGTCTGCACCCCAGATCAGTGCTCAGCAGGGCATGGAGGCTGAACATTAGGCTGTGGGGGCCACACGGCACCCTGGGGACCCAGTAGGCACAGCCCTGTGGGAGGCACCAGGCTCCCAGCACAGGGAACTCGATCTCCTTCTGGCTAGATGCCTGCGTTTTTCTATACGTTTACTACACTAGAGGGAAAAGACCAAATCCTGCAAAGTAGGTTCAGTCGGGTCAGTCTTCCTGTGACGAGCACACAACCATGCACACCAAGGGCAGCCTGGGAGGAGCTGCATGGCAGCCGGGAGCCGTCCCCAGGACCCCAGCGCCTTTCCAGTCCCAGCCAGCGCTTACATTGGTGGAGCAAAGCTCCATTTTCTTCTCCATGGGGTCCACCACAGAGCGCTCCTTGATGTACGTCAAGGTCCGACTGGTTCCCAAAATCTAAAAAACAAACAAAACTGGCTTAACGATGTGCTCAGAGTTCTACCTCCCAGTTCACTCACCCACCAAATGGTACATCGAGGACACAGCCCCGTCTTGGTGCTTCTGTCACCCCTGAAGGTGGCAGCTGCAGAATTCAGAGCTGAGTGTGTGGCAGTTCACGCTCTGCCCAAATCCAAATGGGCTCTGAGCGAGGTGAGGGTGCGGGCAAACACCAGCCGAGCTCTGGGTGGTGCCGGGCTGCAGGGGCGCAGGTTCAGGACAGTGGGGCCCTGGGATAGGTCGAGGCTTGGGGCACTGGGCACAGGACATCATCCCTCCGCAGCAGCAGGAGGAAGAGGCCATTACAGGGGACCTGTGTCCCCCAAATGCCTATGTGGGCACCTACACCCTGAGGCCTCCAAATGTGATTGACTGGACATGAGCCTTCCCAGGGGTAACTGAGCTGAGACAGCCACCCAGTGACCCACATCCTCCCAGGAGTCGCCAGGGAAGGCACCCTAGAGCCCAGGCGGTCACAGCCACAAGGACAGGAACCAGCCTCACAGAGCACCTGTCCCCTAGGGGGGTCCTGTCACCAGGAGGCCAAGGCCAGAGGACGGGCCGGCAGCGCTGCCAGGGCAGCCAGGGACTGAAACCGCGCACGGTGTAGCTGGAGGACAGACAGCTGCGAGGTGGGGATGGCTGTGGAGGGGAGGGGTGGGGACAGCGCCCGCGTCCCAGGAAGGCTGCAGCGGAGACGGAGCCTCACCGCGGTGACCAGGCTGGGCAGCCCCCACTCGGTGCTCAGCAGGCGCAGGCTGTGCAGCCGCCCGCGGCCATCCACGTCCCGCTCCAGGACGTCCACGCCCACCACGCTGGGGTTCATGGGGTTCGGGTACTTCCTCATCGCGGCCTTGATCACCGTGTCCCAGGGGTGGCTGGGGGAGAGCAAGTCAGCGTCACCGGGAGGAAGGGTGGGCCGGGAGGGTCATGGCTTCCTGCACCCAGGAAGCCCCTGGGGCCTGGCCCCACCCTCCCCTCCTCCTCCAGGCCTCCCGGTCAGCACAGGCAGAACCCCTCGGGGCACGGCCCCCCATGCTGCTCCACCATGGACGTGCAGGCGGACGTACAGCCTGGTTGTGGTAGTGAGCTAGGCAGGACCCTGGTTTCCAGCAGGGCTCCTGGTCCCTCCTGACCAAGGGGATAGAGCAGCACCCCATCTTGTCAGCAGGCGCAGAGGAGACAGAGCCTCCTGGCCACCTGCACTGCCGCGGGCCAACTGCAGAGCGTCGCCAGCTTAAGACGCCCCAGGCAGCAGCAGTGACACACGCACGTCCCCTGCAGGATCCCCCAGTGCCTTGCTGGAGAAACGACCAGGGGGGTCAGGTGTACACACTATACCAGGCTCGTGCCGCAGGCAAAAGCACCTGTACTTGGTCCTTGTTTCTACATGTACGTGACTCAAAACTGCCACGTTTTCAGATTACAGAAAGTATTCAAGTTTTTGAGAAGAGTCATATGAACACATGTAAAACCCTCTAAGCCCACTTCCCACACAACCCTGCCAACAACTCGGCATGCACGCAGCCTTCACACCCACACCAGCACCACCTGACTTCCTCAGGACAGGACGGCAAGGCCACGGGCACACACAGGTCGCCAGCTTGCCACACCCACCTGCCTGTGCTGCCCGCCCCAGCCAGCTCCCAGGCGACCCCCAGGCTTCCCCGAAGGACACCCCCTCCTGAGGGAGCCCCGCACCGACAGTGAGCATCTCTCCCGCTCCCCCACTGCCCACAGAGCCCGAACTGGGCACACAGCTGCTGCCATCCCAGAGCCTATGCTGGGCATGACCAGGCCCAAGACGGAGACCTACCCCACAGCATGTTTACCTGGGGCTCCCCTAGGCTGCCCGGGGCACCAGCAAGTCCCCCAGCAGCCTCTGCAGGTGCCCTCTCCCAGGGAGCCTGTGAGCGCCCTGTGGGGGAAGGTCTTCCCACAGGCACCCTCTCTCCACAGCTCCCAGATGACGGAAAGCATGTAGACACACCTCGACCCAAGACCTGGACATATGCACACACACACCCAGTACACACAGGCAACACACATGTACTACAAAGAGTGCTTGTGATTACATTCAATATATGGGCTTACTGTCCACTTTTTATAACTGATAAACATTTACCTACATCTGGAAGCTATTTTCAAAAACATTCTAAATAACTGTACAGCAGGTCATCCTGTGGTCATCCACGTTTAGTCAGGCCCTTATGACGATTTATTCTGATTGTCACCAACTACAGATGCTGGTACCAGGAGTGGGGTTGTTGCTATGACTACCTGTATGGTTTAAAAGACTCTGAACTGGTTCTTGGGAGGAGTTTTGCAAGGTTTGGAGATGCTGGTACAGGAGCCCAAGAATGCCACAAGCTGAGGTTGATCGTGAGACTGGTCAGAGCTGGGAGGACCAGAATGCTGACCACTGTCTGTGTGGGGCTGGGATTTACCACACGCCAAAACCAAAGCACCACACTGCACAACGCTGCACACGGGAGTGGGCCAGGGAATCACGCTGTTGATCCAGATATCATCCATTTTCTTTAAAAAGTGCCACTTTCCTTACCATCTTTTGGGAAAAACATTTTTTATTATTTGGTTTTTAAACGTTATGTTAAAGGAACAGGTTTTTTGTTTTGGTTTGGCTTTGTACCAGGAATCAAACTCAGGACTTTGTGCTTGCCAGGCAGGCACCGTGCCACTGAGCTATGTCTCCGGCACAGTAACAGGTTTAGTGTTACTCTTCTCAATGAATAAGTATTTAGAATTCTTGCTTCAATTGCTGCCGGGCCCAGAGATGCACACCTGTAAACCCAGCTCCTTGGGAGGCTGAGGAATAGAAAACAGAAGTTCAAGGACAGTTGGCAATTTAGCAAGACCTTTCTCAAAATACGTTTTTGGAAGGGCTGGAGATGTGGCTCAGTGGTTCAGCACCTGCTTGGCATGTACAAGACCTGGGGCTCAATCCCCAGACCCTAAAAACAAAATTCAATTGTGTCTTTGTTACTTCCTGGTTGCTGAGACACAATCCGGACACCCCCAACTTAGAGGAGAGGTTTGTTTTCGGCTCAGTTCAGGCTAGCTCAAAGGCAGAAACAGCACAATGGACAAGGCCTGGGCAGGGGAGGGCTGCACACCTCACAGTGGTCAAGAAGCAGAGGAAGAGCTGCAAGGCGGACACCTTCCAGGTAGCTCCCCGTGACCTGCCCACTTCTACCTCCTACCTGCACACCTGGCCCGGAGCTCACCAGCGGGTTACTCCACTGACAAACACAGCGCCCCAAGATCAGCCGCCTTTCACAAGCCCCGCCTCTGAGTGTGCGAGGTTTGGGGACCAGAGAGCCAAACCCCAGCACACGGTGATTGTAACCCTGCAGGTGCTGACAGAATCCACACCAATAAAACCTATTCAGTCCCAGTATTGCCAGCCTGAGGGCTGCTGGCCCACAGGGGTCCTCGGTTGAGCAGCCAGAGACACCAGTGCTGGCTGGTGCGGGTGCTACGTCAGGGGGCGACAGGAAGGACCAGCTGCCGCGTACGCACAGGGGGACCCGGTGTCCCTAACCCTCCTGTACCTGTGCCGAGACCTACCCACCTCAGTGTGGACGGCTCACAAAACCGGGAAAGGCGGCCTGGCGGCCGTACAGAGCACTGCCACTGCTGTGTGTGCCAGGACACCAACAGCGGCAGCGGCCCTTCACAGAGATGCCGCAGTCAGTGGCCCTCTGCACCCAGGCCTTGGGAAGTGGGTCAGCAAATTCACCGCCTCCCCTGCCTCCCGGAGGAGAAGGGGGCAGTGGGGTGGGGAGGAGACATCCGCACCCGGCTCTTCCTGCTGCTTCCAGTCCTCTCTCTGCTCCTGACTAGAAGCTGCCCCCTGCCACCTTCTGGAGCCCTGGGGTCACCCAGCCACGCACCTGCAACGCCCTGGGTGTGCCCAGGGCGGATGAATGGTGTGGGGGAGGGGGAGGCTGCGGACGTGCTTCGGGGCCTCTGTGCCGACGATGGCAAAGTCTTCAACCCAGGCTACGGCCACGGCTGCACAATCATCTAAAAATGTGAACTCTATACGCTCCAAAATTATCTGTGTACACTTTATCTCCAGTGCCGTGGGCTGATCCAGGGCCTTCACACCCGGCTGCATCCCATTCGTTCACACACAGGGACTCCTAAGTGATTAAGCTGTTCAAGGTTCCAGTCCTCCTGCCTCAGCCTCCCAGAACGCCGGGCTACAGTCCTGTGCTGGCCTGGGCTGGACACTTTAAAATGGGTTACTTACAGGGCAGGATTGGAGAACCCAGGAAAGGCGGCCCTCAATAAAACTTTAAAAACAAAAGGACGGCAGCAGCAAGAGGGTCAGCAGTGCTCCTCTGCGGGGCTCTCCTGCACACCTTTGGCCACGGGGCCAGGCCACGCGCATGGAGCCTGCACAGAAGGTGCCCGAGCTTCCACGCTGGCCGATGTGCTTTTATTACCATGCCAGATTTTTTAAGGCCAAAGGACGACAACTCCATCTCATGTAGGTTTTACCCACGAAGAACGCCTCCTCTACTGGGCTTGGGAAATCTGAAAATCCGAGCCTATCAGAAGGTCCTGCAGGACACCGGACTCGGGATGCCAGGCCGCGCATCTGGAGCGCAGGTTTCAGGTCCCACGCAGCCCAGGGAGCGCCAGCTGGATCCCTGCTCGAGACACCCAGGCACAAGCACGCCCCCAAGGACAGGCAAAGGCATCGCGGGAGGGAGGGGTGGAGGGAGGGAGAGTGGGGTGGGGGAGGTGTGCAGGGAAGGTGAGATGGGGGAGGGGGTGAGATGGAGGGAGGGGTGGACTGAGCAAAGGCGGAGGACAGCGGTCCCTTCCAGACCCCCAGGCGCCAGCATCGCGGCCGAGACCCCGCCAGCGTCGTGCACACTGCCTGCGCGCCGCCCGCTCGCCGCCCGCTCACCCGAACACGTGCTCGGAGCTCCAGATCCTCATCGCCGCCGCGGGGGCGCGGGTCCGG